GTGGTTTTGAGTTTGTGGGCTGATTTGAAGGTTTTGAAGCTTTTTCGGGGCTAAGCTCAGGAATTCTGTGAAGTCCTGATAGTACGCAATGCAGATGAAATAACTTCAACCAGGTTAGATAACGGCCCATTTCAGTTTCGAGGTTTCCTTTCAACTTGCTTAAAGTATCAGAAGCATGCATGCTATGGTGTGATCCCTGCTGGTGCCTGGCTGTACCACCCAGAGTGTTTATATGGCTATATAGCATTATAGCATTTACACACTAATACATGGGAAGCCCTTAGGGGCCTAAGTATAGGTTAGGAGGATCCCCCCCCCCCCGTAATAGTGGTATAATAGAGTATAAGAGGGCCCAACTATAGTTACTACTATCCCTTATAGTCACTATTGCAGGATAGCGGTTGGGGGGGGGGTACCACAAGAGTAACATGTCTTGCAAGGTTATGCCTACATGGACCGTTTGGGCCATGGACCAGATTGCAATGCTGAGCCCTGCACGTGGCGACCTTGCTGCTGGACATGCTCCTGACCCAGATCAGACGGTAACCCTGGAGTCCCAAACCCGGTTTAGGGCTTTATGATTCCCTCCCAAAACAAGTATTGAACCTGAATTATGTAAGGCGCAGAAGGACAATAGTGTGTATAAGGTATAGAGCATGGTAGCTTGAGGGAAGGTACCGCGTGAGTGGCGACAATTAACCCCTAAGCCTCAAGTCTAGGGTTCAGGGTTTAGGGTCCCATGTCTCGTGATGGGCCATAAGATACTAGTCTAAATCCTAAAGTCCTTCCCAAGACCCTCCTAGTACCCGTAGTTGGAATAAGCCCTAAATCCTAAGCCCGATACCTACCAGCGGGTACCGAGGCCCGAATAGAAGGTAATAGGAAGGTCTAGGTCTATACTATGCTTCAACAGCTTAGGGTTTAGTGATGTTTAGTGTGTATAAGGCTTAGGGTTTAGGGTTTAGTGCTTAAGGTTTAGGGTCTAGTGCTTAAGGTTTAGGGTTTAGTGTTTAAGGTTTAGGGTTTAGTGTTTAGGGTTTAGGTCAGCGCATGGGGAACCGTGCCCGGCAGTATGATTCAGGCTTGGGGTCTAGGTTGGGGGTCCACCCGCCAATAGCAACCACAACGGCTGCTGGCAATTGCGTTCAAGTCCATTCACATTTTCATTGTCAATGCTCGCGCTGGGTTGGGCCTAACCCATCATATGATCCCTAAACCCTGACGCCTACAGTAGACATGAAACCCGAACATCCAAATTCAAGACACTAAACCCCAAAACCCTGAATCTGGAACCGTAAAACCCTAAACCCTAAATCCCCCAGTCTTAAACCTTGAGCCGACTTTGAGCAGGCTTCAAGCAGGACAAAACTAATGTCTTTCATGGTACTTGCAGGCTCGTGGATAAGCAGAGCCTCCGGAAAATGATTTTTCTAAAAAGCAGCGATGCCTTTAAAATCTGGGATATAGCATTTGGGGTATACAAGGGCAACCAAGATATCCAGTTAAAGAAGCCCTATTCCTACTTACGGCTTCATTCATTCTGCCCCTGAACCCCCCCAGTATTCGAGGTTTAGACTTGCAAGGCTGCACCGTGCAATGATGGCACATGATTGTGTAGTGCTTTTTTTTGGTGGTTGAACCTAGTAAGATAATATTCCTTTTATGAAATACCATACCCCAAAAGGAGGATAGAATCTTACTCTGTCTGTCTATAATGGGTACCATAATACCCCCAAATANNAATAAAATACTACTCAATTGGGTTCCCCTAACCCTAAACCACAGGGGTTTTGTGTCTAGTACTTAAGGTTTCGTGTTCTGGAAGTAGCATTAAAATATTGCAGAGTGTGTGGTTACAGTGCAGGGCACAGGGTTTGGGACCCTAAGGGTCCAAGGACCCCAAATCTTGGGGGTTTTAGGGCCCAAACACCATTAATATTATAGTATTTGGGCCCGAGGACCCTATTATTTGGGTCCTTGGACCCTCAGGGGGATTTAGGCTTCGGGATTACGTGGCCTTAGGGGTTCTGGGACTTAGGATGCAGTGTTTTCGGGTTCAGGGTTCAGGGTATAGGATTTCGGGTTTGGGGTATAGTCGGTTCTTCGGAATTAATGTGCTTGCGGGTTTTGGCGGCACATGATTAAACAAATCCTTGTGAAAACCAATTGCACATAGAATTTGCATTAGGGTTATAGGCCGTGTTGCAAAATTGACGAGCCTAAACCCTAAACCCTCAAACCCTAAACCAGCAACCAAAAATCATACTCTCAAGCACCAGAAAAACCACAAGACCTGAACCCTGAACGCTAAACCCAGTGTAAACCCTAAGCCCTGGACCATAGGCCATAAGCCTTAAATCCTAAGTTCCCATTCTGCCCTTTTGCGGAACGTCAGGGAACCCATCTGGGGGCTTCTATAAATGGGAGGACGCCAATATAGACCCGCACTGTCAGACTTTTTCCGTTGCCGCAGGATTTGGAATCAATGGGTCATCGAATTCCTGGTTCCCTTCTTCAGGATTTAGGGTTTAGGTGACGCAATAAGAGCTCACGTCCCTCGTTTGACAGCCAGAGCCACCTGGTTCAGATTTTTGCGGACGAGTGTTTACCATCAAGTAAGTCGCTACAATTTTCAACTCCTACACCCTGAACCTAAACCCTAAACTCTTAACCCTAAACCCCTCTTCCTCAGGCAGCTTGTGCAAAGTACCAGTCCGCCATGAACCCCATGGCCAGGGTGGATGGATAGGCGATGGCCAAGGTCCAGCCCAGAGCTCTATGAATTCTCCAGCCGCTGAGCTTCACCCACGCCCTGGGCTTCAGGTGTAAAGGTTTAGGGTTGAGGGTTCGGGACTTGGGGTTTGGGGTTAGGGTTTAGGGACTTTAGCTCTTGGGGGTGCGGGGGTCTTAAAGTAGACCTCCGAGCCCTTTACTCAAAAAACCTTTCTCTGTAACAACGGAACATCCCCCTCCCCTAGGCTGCTCATCATCGAGGGCCAGGAAGTTCCTATCATCTCTCACCAGAGGTTCATCATTGCAACATGCTCCATGTTCAAGGACCCTTGCGACTAAGACCAAATTACTGGCGCTTCAGAGCAAAGGAGGCGGGGACGCATGGATCACAATAGTGGATCATGTTGGGGTTACGTATGCCAGATTTACATGAGAGATTGTTACGGAACCCTCACTAACAAAAATTCTACCTCGTGCAGGGAACACACTTAGGAGTGCTAGTAAGCTCCGATCCAAGCGGTGACGGCCACAGGATAGACGCTCATAAGGGTATTTTGTTGACCCAACCTTCAGTGAACCATATTCACGTGATAGTCGCAGGTTCCTGACCAAAACCTTCATATCAGAGACATGGCTATAGCAAGGGTTTTTTGACTACCCCAACCCTTGTATTTAATCAAGACCCTAGTAAGTATCACATAAAGTCCTTATTTTGGGTTCTAAGTTAAGTAAAACCCCATGATGACTGTATAGAGGCCCACGCAGAATGGAAGTTGATTGTAGTTCAAGCTTGCTTCTTTGTGGGCCCTATGATAAAGACCGTCATGTTGACGAATTCTCCAAATGACACTGATTCAGGGGAATGCCCTAACTAGGTCATTCCCCTTACAGTAACGGCTTCCACAACAGATAGTAGTAGGAGGTATAATAACCCCTTATGGAAAAACTTTTTAAGGACGGTTACTGCAAGGGGTAATGACCCAAGGAACGCCGGTGTAGCCTCCTTGATCCCTATCTGTTCCGAACCCTCCCAAAAAATCATCTTGAGCTTTTTTTGAGTAAGCACTACCAACTCTAGACCCTAAAACCTAATTCCCAGTACATGTCTAATTACTGACTCCTTCCCTTAACCCTTAACTAAGTGAGGGGTCGCTGCCGTCGTGCGACAGACGCCGAACGCTGGCCGAGGGCCGACAGCCCGAGCGCATGGCAGAAAGAGCGGGTCACGGNNGGGTAAAGCCTCACCTCCTTGACCATTGGGGCCGGCGTGAGCCACTTGCTGTGAGGCTTGTGGTTTTTGTGGCCCGCCCAGGGGGACCTGGCCTGCCAAGGGCCTCCCAGCACCCAGGGCCTAGGTCCTCCATTAGGAGCCACATAGCCACAATTAAGAGTACTAGGAAGGTCTTGGTAGACATATATCTTAGAGGCCTACTTCAGGTAGCCTAGGCGATGAATTCTATCAGGAATCTAGGACCACACCACTGGAAAGTGTTCAGGCTTCTACAGTGCGTGCTAAACCCCCAAACCCTGGGAGCTTTCTGGGGAGGATGGTGGGACCCTCAAGCCCTACAAATCCAAGACATTTTCCAACCCCTACTTGCAGATTCAGGGCGATTAAGGCCCAGATATGACTGTAGCAAAACAGGAGCTATAACAATATCTTGGGCCCAGGGGGCATGCAATTGGGGTTGTGCTTCGGCAGACTTATCTGTCGGTTATGATAACCCTGAGCTTCCAAGTACAGTAGGCCCTGACTTGCCAAGAATCCATGACACGCCCAGGAGCACTTGCAGGCTCAGAAGCAGAAACACGACACAGGGAGACATGAGAAAGGGAACTTCGTCGTTGCTCTTAATGTTCCTCTTCGGCTCAGTTTATATCCCCCTTAAGTAGATAGAANNATACGGTTTTGGGTATATTATAGTAAGAACCCTATATACCCCATATTCTATCTACTTAAGGGGGACTATAGGGTGTAGGGTTCAGGGCCTGGGGCCTAAGGCTTAGGGTAGGAGCTTGGGGCTCATAAGTCTTGATGTTGTACTTTAAAGGCCCCCAAGGCTTAATGCAAGAAGGGAAGGTAACACCCAAAGTACGACCCCATCCTCTTCTGCTCTGTTTAGGGTTTGGGGGTTATTGCTTAAGAGTTACGACCCACCTAGAGTTTACTTTAGGGTTTAGGATTTAGGGTTTAGGGTGTATGAGTATGTATGACTTTTAGCAAAGTATAGGTGGCTCAAAATTTGATGAAGAAGATCCTAAGGCTCAGCATCAACAGAATCGATCCAACCACGCAGAGCATGGTGAACGTGTCTGCAGCATACCTTACTGGAGTAGATCCTGATGAGGATGCCTTTATCACCTGCATGTATGCTGCCGCAAAACCATACCTGGACCTAAAACCCTACCTGAACCCTACTCGAACTTGAAATCCTAATCCGTAGACCCTATAGTCCCCCTGAAGTAGATAGAATATGAAATTGCCTAGTATCATAATGAGATCCCAATATATCCCATATTCTATCTGCTTAAAGGGGATTGTAACGCCTGAGCCCGAAGCCCAAAATAGAAGCGCCAGCAAGACACGTGCCCGTCATTGCAACCAGGAACTCACCGGAAGTGGCCAGACCATAAGAGGCGAATACGTTATCCACAGTATTGCCTCAGAAGTGTCTGATTTAGGGAGTAGGGAACGGGGTTGTGAGGTTTAGGGTTTAGAGATTAGGTATTAGGGTTTAGGGATTAGGGGTTTGGGGATTTGCGCTTAAGGGGTTAGGGGAGGGATTGGGGTTTAGGGGCTAGGGTGATTAAGGATTGAGGTGAACGTGTTGCCTCGGCTTACTTGCGTTTTTAAAGCAAGATGAGAAGTTAGGCTTCAGGGATGAGGGATTAGGATTTCGGAAGATAACACAGGTACAAGGTTTTTTTAATAGAGAGGGATGATATTGGGATGTGCCCCCGGGCTCCTCCACAAGAGAACCCAAACAAGCCAAACGGTTGGAGGGCTACAGGGCTTAAGTCAAGCGGAGGCAGACATGCTCTCTGTCATCGAACCCTAAACCCCAAACCCTAAACCCGAATCCGTAAATCTTGCGTCGTTGGCTCGAGCACCTTGGAGAAGACCTTTGAAACCGCTTTTGAAACGGCGACCGAGAGTTGATAGAACAAGAAAACACCCCCACCCAAAGCGATGGGGTCTTTGACAGGCACCTCCACCCTCAAACCCTTGTAACCTGGTATCTTCCGTTTACTGAATTGAGTAGTGTTTTCTGGTGGTTGAACCTAGTAAGATAATATTCATCATATAAAGTACTATACCCCAAAAGGAGGACATAATCTTACTCTATATTGGGTACTACAATGCTACTCAATTAGGCCCTAAACCCAAAAAGGAGTTTGAGGGTCTAGGCAAGCTGCCTAAAGCCAACATCGTGATGCCCATTGTTGTCGGCGACAGACCTCGAGGTTGCTCAAAGTATGGCTCCCGGACTCAACGGATATGGGCTTTTTAGGGTTTAGGGTTTAGGGTTTAAGCTTTTAAGGTGCCTTTAAAGGGGTTATATAGGGGTTATAATATAGGGATAATGGAGAAGAAAATGGAAACTACTATTTAGGGTTTAAGGCTTAGGAGGCTTAGGATTTAGGGTTGAAGCTTTTAAGGTAGTTTAGGGTTTAGGTTTTACGGTTTAAGGTAGTGTAGGGTCTAGGGCTTAGGATTCTTTAGGCGGTTTACGGCCCAACTTAGGGACCTCTTTCTGGGAGTCCCTGTAAGCATCGTAGCATGCTCGAGCCTATATGAGCCATAGTCTAAACTCCTTAAAGGGGGGTTATATAGGGGATTCTATAAGGAATTATTATAGGGCTTAGTAAGGGGGATACTAGGAGATTAGACAATAGCTCATATTAAGAATCCTTCTTCGCGGAAACTACCGTCAGAAGGATTCCTACGTATCCCTGCAAAGGACCCTTTCTCACTAGGGCATGTTGGGGGGAGGGGCCATCCAAATACAAGCTTCTGGCCTTACAGGGATTATCAAACCCGAAACCCTGAACCCTAAAACCTAAACCCTTAAGGGCAGTCTTTGCCAAACTCCCCACCTATGATCTCTCCTAGCACAGACAGCAGCGACAGGACTTCATTTGCAATGAGCCCAACCTGGGTTCCATTGTTTGGGATTAAGGTTTAGGGTTTGGGGGTTTTAGGAGTTCAGGGTTTGGGGAGTTTGGGGCTTAGGGTTTGGGGGTTTCGTGTGGGGTTTTGGGTTGTTGGTGGCTGAAAGAAATATGACCCCAAATGCTGTTCAAATGCTTCCCTATAAAGACATTCGTCTCCAGTGAGCTAAATTTTCTTCGATCCCAAAACAATGACGTGCCCATTTGGGGACCCCAGATGTCCAGCACTATCTGAAATTATAAATCCCTAAGGCTCCGGTTACGGTTTAGGGTTTAGGGGGGTTCTGGATTCAATATACCCTATGGTGCCATAGCCCAATCACCTACTATTTAGGCAACCCGGAGCCCTAGGAAATTTTCCCAATGCCCCAGCCGGCGACCCAAAGCAAAGACGTCAGGAAGGTGGCCCAATGGAAAGCTGTTGCTGCGACGTACTTGCCTCATCTGACTGAGGGGAAAAACGGGGGGGTTGGAAGTAAGCCGACACACAAGCAATCAAATTAAGTCCATAAGCGCTAAGCCCCATCCTAAACCCTAAGCTCTGAACCCTAAATTCGAAACCCTGGACTCCAAGCCCTAAACTTTAGGCCCTAAACTCCAACCCTGAACGCAAAACTTTAAGTCCCAATCCCAAGCCGGCTCTTAAAGTCGTCCAGCTTCCTGGCAATGCTCGAGTCATCTGACAGACCCGGGCTGCAGAGAACACACCTATGACCTGGTTTCTAAGGGGATGGTTTAGGGTTTAGGGTTTACGGTTCTTAGGTTGAAGCCGTGGGCCCAGTATGGGCCCTACTATATACTCTACATGTACCCTTCCTTAAAAAGCCTATGGGCCCATATTAGGGGCCATACTTCGAACTTTAGGTGCTTGGGTATCCAGGACTTGGGGGGCTTGCTTGGGTGACAGTTTAGAACTTGGGGATCAGGGATTCGGATTCTTTGTCAGGGCTTGCATGGTGCAGAGGCGCAGACGCTCCGCGGTGTAGGCCTTGCAGTCCGAACTTGTGCACATGGCTTGTCGCATATGTAGACGTTCATGCGTGGGGCTCCCGCGCAAAGTTCCTCCACGCAAGGTCGGCAGAAGGTGTGGCCACATGGCACACAGAGCTGGATCTCCAGCTTCTCCTGGCGCACGCTTCTGTGTACGAAAAGAACAGAACAATACACGCATGCAACTGAATCGTGTTCCTGCAGACACAGCGCACAAGGTTCACTGCTTGTCACCCCGAAGGCGCGAACCTCGAAGCCATGTGAACGGAAGGATAACACGTTCAAAATAAGGCTGAGTTCGCTGCAGTCCTTTCCACTGAAGCGCGGCAGGTCGGACACTGCATCCTTGCCATTCGATGATAAACTGCGAAAGGTTTCACTGGGGTCGGCATTTCTTTCGCCTCCTAAGCACGTATCTGAGGTTCGTGCTTCTGCGTCACGCTGGGTTGATGAAAGACGAAACAACTGCTGAGCCACAATGCTGATGTGAGCAGGCGTCAGGGGAGCTTTAATCACTTGAAACGATTTCTCACCACAAGTTTGTGAACCTCTTTTGCAACCATCATAGAGAATTTTTACGGGCTTACGAGTATTGCCAGCTTGCGCTCACGTGCAACTCACTCGTTTCAATTCTTGACGTAGAGAACCTCTGGAAATCACTTTGCGCCGACCAGGTGCCGAGCCACAACGCTGTAAATGAAAACAATCTTGTTTACCCTGAATCAAGCCATTGCAGTGACTCCTTCGTGTAACGCGGGCAGTGTCCAAGTCAACCCAGCGTTTAGGAACAGGATTTAACGAACAGTGTTTAGGAACAGGATTTAGCGAACAGGGTTTAGGGCCTGAATCCCGTAGATTTAGGGAGGCCTCAGAAATGGGCGTGGCCTTTTTTGAAATGGGCTTTTTTGGTCTACAGCTATGAGGCGGGAAGTGAGGCCCAAATGTATGGATCTT